ATACTGACATAAATGAACATTTGCACGATATTCTAATTTTTCGAGTTTCACCTGTAGAAACTGCTTCAAGGGAAACAGCAGCCAATAAAGAATCTTATCAATACTAACTTTCTTCCTTCTATCTAGCCCTGGCTGGGGTGTTGGCCACGCAAACATTTGAAATATCTATATGCTTTGAGTTCAGACAATGCTCTAAGACATGGTTTGATACACTCTTGATTTGTTGAATAAGCTACAGTAGCTTGGTTCACTTATAATGCTAAGCCATGAACCACTGCAATGCCTGGGTTAACACAATGCACTAATCTAAAACTAAGCAAATCTCATTATGGCTTAGAGCAATATATGATTTCAGTATATATATAGTGAGGGAGGGGAGGGGAGGGGAGGGAACGGAATTTTTGTCAAAACTGGATGTATAAAAACAATAGTATATTTGTAAACAGTACAAATTGTAAATCTATTTTAAAAAGTAAATAAAAATAAATATTTTATAGTCCCTGAAGTAAGATGTGCATAGTAATAGGTTTTTCATTTTCTAACAGCTTGGCTTTCTAGAAATTATGATGACTGCATTTTAATACTAAAGCTAAAATCCTAAATGTAATTGCATAGAATTATATCACACTTAAGTATCTGGCTTTATTTGCAAGTAAATGCATTTAAAGTTGCAAAAACATAATTTGTGACAAATATACATCATTTACATTGATTTCATCTGATATTAAGGATGCTTTATTGTGCATTGAAGTATTTTTTTGTTGAATCTGGTGGTATATAAACACAATAAATAAAAAAATAAAATACATTTAAATGGTAAAAGGATCATTGTGCACATATATACCTTCTATTCATATACCTATAATTTATTTGCATAACACTTGGGGGGGTGAGGAAATGCATTCCTTACACACAAATTGAGCATGACCACCCACTGTTTGAAAGGCTCATTTCAGAAGTATATTTTAATGTGGCCAGCTGCTGAATTAGTCAACTTTGTAAGCTGAACATCTGCTTAATTCTAGGCTCCAATTTATTTCATGACAACAAACAGCATCAGGATGTGCATAAGAGATTGCAGCAATTTCATTTGAACTAGCAGAATGCTAAATCTACCTTAATTCTGCAGGAATGAATAATATAGGTTTCACTGGACAAAAGCCATACTTCAGAACTCATGCTTGACCTTTACAGCATATATTGCAGGTTCATCCCTGATGTCATGTTATATTTGAAGAGCAATCATTTTTGTATGTATCATTTAATAATTCTCTTTGTTTTCTTTGAAGCCTCATTAGATTTCTATCAGATGGTTAACATTTCAAATTTTTACAGTATCTTGTGGTCACTCTTACAAAGCAGCTGCTATTAGGAGTCTTACTCATTCACAAAAATGATCATTTATGATGTGACCATCAAGATCTAGCAGTTTTAAATGCAAACATTGTGGATAAAAATATGTCACAAGCCCAATGTGCTACATTAATATGGCTTTGCAACCGTTGCATATGAAAGCAATTATTCTTTTTGTACAGTGGCTTAAAATATATTTCAACTTAAATGTAAATATATATGTAGTTTCAGACAAAGCATTAATTGTATAATCACCTTGCATCAAACACACTGTTTCTGTTCAGGACTTGGACTCTTCAGAGGCAAAGGCTAAGCCTTAAGGGTCTGATCCATGAGGTTGTTAGCCTCAGGAACCGGCACAGTCAACCTGAGCTGACTCAGCAGAAAATCAGCAGGAGCAGGTGCAGGAATATAGTCAGGTGATGAAGGCCCAATCTTGGCAGAGCACCATTGACCAGGATCTACTGATGGCTTCAGAGAGCCAAGCAGAGGTTCTCTTCAGCTCTTCAAGAAGCAAGGTCACCAATGCCCATCTTTCTCCAATTGTCTCTGTCTGTCCCATCAGATCTGGCAGGAGGGGCATGCTCTGGGTCCCATCAATTAGAGAATGCCATTTTGTGGGACCCAGAACTTGTGCCTTTTCCGTTGCAGTGCTCACCTTCTGGAACACCATACTGCCTGACATCAGCTTAACTGTGGCCTTGTTGGTCTTGGGGAAAGCTATTAAGACCTGGCTTCCCAGGCTTGGGAATTGGGGAATTAGCTGAGCCCAGGTGGGTTGGTTGCTGTTTTTCTCAGTTGCCATAGCATGTTGTTTGTCCTTGTTATTCTTTTTATTTGTTGGATGTAGAGTTTTTAAATTGTGTTAGTTGCCCAGAGTCACGTTTGTGGGAAGGGTGGCCATATAAATCCAATAAATAACTAAACAAATAGAGCCACACCTCCATCTGGTTTATTTAAGAGTAGATGGCCCTTTGTTGTGCTCAGCCAGGTTGTTGTGCTCACTTTTTTTCTCTTCACAATAACTATAATTTTGTGCCACTGTGCAGCCATAGGATGCGTCAGCCTCTCCTGTGCCAGCCCTGTCCATATATATTTATTGGTGAGAGAACATATAGTTCCATTATAAGAAAACACATGACCCCCAAAAAGTGGCAGCATCTAGCTAACCTTAGTTCATCTCAGAAAAGCTAAGCAGGGTCCATTCTAGTTATTACCTGGATGAGAGACCACCAGGAATTCTCAGGTTTCTATTTTAGACATGGAAGTGAAAAAAAAACAAAAACGAAGGAAGTGATGGAAAAATATGACTTCCATGTTGGTGCAAGAAAATGCATCAACATGTCCATTCAGTCATAGGCTTTTCTGTGCCCCCCCCATAATACATTGTAAATAATGCTCAGTGCATGCTATCTTCTACTCCATCCTCTCTAATGCAGTTTTTACATATGGAAGAGGGAAGAGAAAGTCAGAATAGTCTTTTGGCAATAAAGTAAATTGTATTCCTGCTTTTTTTAATTTGGCAATAGTTTTTGAGGAGGCAAAGCAAACCTTTAAAGCTAAATAGTGAAGGTGGAGGGCACACCTAACCTGTCTGCATTTGTCTGTAGAGGTTCATGTGGTGAAGTATACACCGTCAACCTTTTCTTTTGCATGCTGTTTCTGGAAAAGCTGGCTCCACCCATTCAGTAAACTTGTAAGCATCAGGAGTTAATTATAATTTGAGGGAGAATGAACTCATAATAAATCTATAACTCATATTTTCAAGCAACATATTACACAGAATGGCTACCATCACATGGAGCAGCTACCAGGAAGATGAATTGAGGGGGATGACATTTGCCTAGTAGCTAAGTTTCACATTTGTCAGGATTAGTTAAAGCTCTTTATAAGGCAAACCACCCTATCTTAAACCTGGGGTGTCAGCAGCTGTGCAAAAATATGAACAGCTGGATGCCTTGTTACATTACACTAAAGGATGATATATTAACTAATTCTTGACAATTTAAATTTGCTGGCTGAATTGTGAAAGGATATTTGAAAGTCTCTTCATTCCTAATGTGGCTCATTTTAATTTCCTTTGAAGACAGTATGCAATAGACCCAGATATTGGAATTATGTATTAGGGGGTCCAATGTAGCTTGCTTCTGGAATAACGCCAAAACGTTATCTCAGACGTATTTGAGAATAGGAGCCTATTTTAATCCCCAGCCTATAAATTCCAAGTTACTCCTGATAGCTTAATATATATTTGCAGTGTATTAGTATATAAAACTAATATAATTATATTGCAGTATAAGTATATAAAACACTTGTTGCAAAGGTGGTGTAAGTGGCTTTTGTCCCCCACCCCCTTCCACTGAAACTAGAGTTTTGCATGCCTTTACCATAAAACGTGGTACTGGTAAATCTGTTCAGTTTGTCCCACTGCAATTAAAAACAACGTAACTAACTTAAATTGATCTAACTGGGTCTTTCTCCAGCCCAATGCAAATGTGTGACTCTTCTTCTTTTCCTTTGTTTTAGAAACCTCTCCCCCCGCCCGGCAGTCTGAAGGGACGGCGACCATTCTTCCTCACTGACAGCGTCGTCGAGAAAAGCAGCCTTCCCCAACCAGCGCCCTCGACAGGCGCCGGACTACAACTCTTCTCGTCTGTCGCCAGAATGGCCGTGCTTCGACTGAAGACTGGCGGGCGTTCCATTCCCACGCAACCCCAGCGGGCGGCCGGCT